AATGGCACACTCGGCAGAGATGCCCAGAAGTTCATGAGCTGCAGAGTCGAACCTATCTCTCTGCTGCTATCCCAGATTAGGACTGAAGCAAAGTGGCACAGTAATGCACATACGTGCATCCTCACCCAGCTTGCCCTGTGACTCCTCAGGCTTCCAGTTCCCACAGCCCAAGAGGACAGCACCAAAAACCAGGACATCCTCCAGCTCTCTCTGGATTTAAAAAGCTTTGGCGATCTCAATGGAGAAGGGTGCCAAAATCTCACCTCTGCAGCAAGGAGCTCAAAAGCTTAAGTTTGGGTTTCCTGCTGCATCCACAACCCCCACCAGCTCTGCTGGGCATCCAGAAGTCCCAGGGCTTCCCTACTCTTGCATCAGCTGGCTTTTTGGGAAGCCCAAACTGCTCCAAAATGATCCCACATCTGTCATTTTCCCAGCTGCCCACCATTAAATAACTGCAGTCAGTTTGACAAGAAACTCCACATTTCCAACACATTACGTTGCATCACCACAGATTCCTTCCTTTCCTCCTGGTACTAACCCATCATAAAATAATTATCAGACACACTGCAATGTCACTGCAAAATAAATAAATACTGCCTGTGCATGCTGCATTCCTTGTCTGGCTGACCCAGGCTGCCAGCTAGGGCTGAGCCTGAAAAATAGCTCCCACCTGTACCCATCCTGGCAGCAGCCTTGATTAGCAAGAAGCCTAAACCTGATATAGTGGGACATGCTGCCAGTAAAAATGAAGTATGTTGGCATGGGTGAGTGTGCAGGGACCCTGAAGCAAATCAGCAGCGAGCACTGCCAGTCACACCAGAGGTGCTACGGTGGCTGGTTTCCCATCATTTGCCTGATCCTGTCAATGTCTCTTGCAACTATCATGCAAACTTTAAAAAAAAAAAAAAGATAGTAAAAATTCCAGTCAATATATCCTTTTAATTTGCACCAGATTATAGGGGGTTTTTAATGCAATTACTGTAATTTCATTAAATGACATAATTACCATTAATGCAGAGAAAACTGTCAATAGAAGGTGTAATTATGATGTATAAAATCACAAGCACAGTGTGCAATGATGCATAATTCCTCATGAAAATCATTCTGTAACTAAAATTAACTTTTAAAATATTTTTAAAATACATATTGTACAGTAAGAATGATTCAGTTATTATGGACTTAACTTCCATGACCAGGGAAGAAGGGGGAGCAGAGCAGGCAGGGAGCATTTGCACGTGGAAGGAATTCCTGGTCAGAAATTCAGTTTAAAAGTGCATCACAGAGGTAAGAACACAAGTTTTCATATGCACAAGTGGGAAAAACAAACAGTTTATAATCATGCAGGTATACAACATGACTTGTGAGCAGACATTCCTATAGGCACATTTTACCACCCAGGTCCAGCTGTTTGAACACCAGTAACACAGTATGGAGGCAATGTCTCAATGGAGAAAGGTGTGACAAGGGAAAGGAGGGATGGGAACCAGGCTAAAAACACGACATTCACCCTGGAAACCAGGAGCAAATTGTCCAGGGTAGGATATGGAGAGTGTCAGGCACACGAGCAGAACCACAGAGGCATGTACTAGACTACGTTTCTGGGTATCTTTAAAATAAAGACCTTTTTGAGAGTCACGTTTCAGTCAAAATGCAACATATTGGGTTGAATAGAGATAACTATATCAAAATTAAATAAACAGACTGGAAATCCTGAAGAGCTTTTTGATCTTAAAAATCTGCAAATCCCCCCAAATCGTGAATTGATGGAGGAGAACACATGGACAAAGTCTTTTAAGATCTCTCCTGGTATATGAACACTATTAACTCTACAGCCAACATTTTCCACCTGTGGGAATATTCCTGATATTCCCAGGCAGGCACGAACATGTGTCCCCATTTTTCACACCAGACCAATGAAGAAATGTACACTATAAAGAATGCAGAAAACCCACGTGTGACTGTCCTCCAACCCAGGATGTTTTTTCTAGAATTTGTGTAAGGCAATTTGCACCAAACCCTTGGTGCGCAGGGCAAATATCACCAAAAGTGAAATTTTGCTTTTCACCTCACCTTCCTTTCAACCCTCTTTCCAAAGCCTCTAAACTTGAAAAAATTCTGATCAGTGTCCTCTCTGCCTATGCAATTAAGTCAGGTTAAAAGTCATCAGAATAAAATTGCAGAATGCTGCTGAAAAAATATTATTTCATTTTTACAGCACAGAAAAATTAATCTACTCACATGTTCTTGGATTTTCTCCTTTCACCATTACAAACTAATAAAGAAATTTAGCTTGGGATGATGTATCTTATCAATGAGAAAACATGGTGACAGCATTTTTCTTATTTACTTGTGTCCTGCCTGTGCTGTCCTCTGTTTCCTCCCTCTTTATCTGTCCCTCTTTTTCTCTTGTGCACCCAGAAGTAGCAGCTAATGTCCTTGTCACACACAGGAGCTGTCAGTGTGAATGGGGAGGGAGGTGCACTGTAATGAAGACTTTAAACAGGAAGGTGTAAGATAGGTCCTCGCCTATTGCCATGCTCTGATGATCTCACAAATATTTTCTTCTGTCTGGCAGTGATTTTTGCCCGATTGCTTAAGAAAAGAAGGTTCACATGATTATACTGTTTACTTGTCTTCCTCCTTGTCCCTCCCTTTATTCCCCCTTAGAGGAAGGGGCATGGGCTACCTGCAGAGGGAAACCAACAGCAATACAACAGGGGAGATGTGTCCTAAAGACCACCTCATCTCTGGGATTATAACAGTGAAGACATGTGGAATATGTAGAATATGGTCACAACAGTTACGGCCAGTGGCCCAAGGGACAACATCTGTAAGAAAAAAACAGGGCATTTTACAGTTTGTGGGCCTGGCTGGCACTTAAGCTACCAGCCATGGTTTCATGAACCCAGCTGAGAAATGGGTGAGAAGCTTTGTGCATCTTCCTCGCCTCTGGTGTTCAGGGTCAGCCACAAGCGGGTCGTCAATAAGGACAAATTTAGTACAGGCTAAATTGATACAAAGCCAGGTACTGAAGGTGTCTAGATGTTGCTTACTGAGGAATGATGATTTTAAAAACGCAATATTTGGTACACCTTTTATTTAACCTGTTAAAAGTGGATTTTCCATACAGATTGGGGCAGGGAGGGATGCTACACGTATCACGCTGTGTATGTATTTTCAATACTATGAACGCACACGCTGGAAATAGTGAGAGATACACACGTAATTAGCACTTCATTTTTAAGTGCCAGAGTTGAATTATTTCCATGTGGAAAAAATCAGATAGACTTAAATTTTGGTTTGTAGAGGAAACCTGCAGCAATTATTCTTAGAGTCATGTATTTTTATTCCTTTCCCACTACCCACTTTCTTTCAGGAAACCAGGAGTATTATGGTATCCAGTAAAGATGTTAATAGTCTGTAAGTTGTAACCTGCTCAACCTCCTTTTCACTAGGAATCAATTCCTTTTTCCGTAGACCCACTTTCCCGCCTTCTTATTTTTCTGCCTTTCTGCCACTTCCAAACTTTTCTTAAGTCTAGAAAACTAAATCTCACAGCTGTAACTTCGTAAGTATTTTGGTGCAAGATCTCTTAAGAGGAAATCCCTTAAATATGTGCTTAGATTCTTGCTGTAGAGTGATGGTAGGACACTGGCACTGGGATTTTACATATGTCCCTCCCTTTCCAGCGCCAGCATGCATGGACCCTTTAATTCCCTTGTGCACAACTGTAGAGCTCCTTTGCACAGCCATACCTTCTTCAGCAAGGTACCGGCTGCTCTGCTCTCCACCAGCTCTTGAACCATTAACTTTAGATATGATCTAAATAAGCTTCAAGCAACAGGAAGAAAAAAAAACACAGAAAAAGCCCTCTCATCCTACACACTCTTATGTGCCAGTCATCCCTCTAACCTGCAGGGTGAAAGACAGCTCCCCTGTCTTTGCTCTGAGCTTCTTTCAATCAGGGATGGTCCACTTTACTCATCTATAGCAAATACACTGTGAAGTGTTTTCCTCAAAAGAACCTTTGAGAGACTTATAATTCACAGACAGTAAAAGGAGGAGAAATCTTGGAGATGTGGCTGTTATTTTGCTTAATAAACACTCAACTCAAAAACTTTCTTTCTGCATGCTGGACCACCACAAAACGATTTTGCAACCTTTAATGGCATGCCAGACATTTCAAGCATGAAGAAAATGTCACACCGCAGAATAAAAAGCAGGCAAAACCTTTTTGCGCTTGAATGGATTATGAGAAAACTGCAAATGGGGTGTTTACTACCAAGAGGAAAAAGGAGAGAGCTGAAAAGTGGGACATGCAGGTGGAGAACTTGGCTTTTTGTTCGCAGAGCACAGCAGAACTCCCTGACCAACCTTTTCCTTTGTTTTTGGTGGTGTTTCTTTTTTTTTTTAAAAGCAACGTATTATTACCCTCAAGAGAATAGATTTGCAACAGGCGATGTCAGCAGAGCTGCTTACGTGCCGTAGGGACACGGGCATAGCAGGCATTGATAACCTGCAGCAAAGTGCGCCTCATTGCAATAGAAGATGGAAGGGACAAGACCCATCAGCTCATTGAATCACCCAAATCAAAGGCACCTCCCTGCATCACCCTCTTGGCCACCACCTCCCTCCCTTCCTACCACCCAGTTGCCATCTTTTAAAAAAAAAATTTTAAAATCCAGAGTCATCACATGGTCACAGCATTTACAGGGTGGCATCACCCACCATGGACATGGGCATCCTCAGTGCTCGGTGCAGGTTGGTGAACACCTCTGCACCGAGCAAAGAAAGGCTATTCCTGAAGGTCTAATTTCCATGCCCATCAGGCCCAACGTGGCCCAAGCTGCCTTGAAACCCACAGTCCTGCGGTCATGTAGCTACAAAATACCAATAACAGCAAACGATAAAGGGCTTTACGCCAGTGGAGAGGAACAAATGGTAACACTCGAGATCTTATGTCACTTAGCCTCATGCAATAAAAGAAGAAATCCACTTACCGCAAATGCTATCACGCTCTTTACCGTGGACTCCCAGAGAAAGCAGCTCCGAAGGAATTGTATTGTATTCCATATTGCCATGGTGATTTTTTTCACGCGATCAACATTTCTTGATAAGATCTGATAAATATTGAGTGGGAGGAGGGGAGGAGAAGAGGAGTTTAATCAAACACTCTAATATCCTACTATTGCTTCAGAAACAGGGATAATTTAAGCTACAAATGCATGTCTGGGCACACATTACAAATAAAGCCTCTATTTCAGAGACACAGTCCAGCTCCTGTCTGCCTTCTGATTACACCCAAACCTTCCAGATTTTCCTCATCCCTTAGAAAAAAAGAAGAAAAGAAAAAAAAAAAAAGCAGCACGTCTAAAGCACATCTTGATGCCAAAACTAAATATAACAGTAACACAAAACTACCTTCGTTCCTCTTCAATTCTCAAAATATAGCAATGTCTCAGGAAAAGGGCCAGAGAGAATGTAATCAAAACACGGAATCTCTTCTCTACATGTTTTGGATTAGTCCATAGAAATAAATAGGGAATTTTACCCTTGTCATAGTGCACCTTTATTTAAGAAAACAATAACAGCCATTGTTCTAGAATCCTATGGACTTTTTATATAACTAATTTAGACCTGGTTTCTTCCTTCCCAAAGAAGGGAATAAGGCTCTCATTGAGCTTTAGGTGCTGCGAACTGTGCAACATCCACAGCTATCATCTTCTGCACTCTAAAGCACAAAGCAGAACTACTGATGCAAACTAGATCAGAAAGCAATTTCATGTTAACACAAACAAACCTTTTGATATATACAGAAATACACAGAATTTACATGTGTTTGGTATTTTATGCATAAGTAGGTTTTATGCTCACAACTGTGCTACAGCAACTCAAATCTTTCCAAAACAAATGCAAGAACTTAGCCCAGAGACTAGCTTCACCTTTTTAGAAAATTTGCGGTTCTCCTCAGTGAAGCGCTTTTCTCGGGGCTTGAATGTTCTAATACTTGCTTTTACCTTTAAAAAAAAAAAAAATAGAAAAAGATGTCATGTATTTTTAAATGCACTATTTCAGCTTTGTATCACCAGTGTTGATTAGGAATTTCAGGATCTTTCACTCTTCTCAGCCTCTCTCCCTGTTTTCCGCCTCTATGCGACTTACGAGGAGCTGCTAGGAAAAATGTGGATGAGTTAAGTTGGGCAAGGCTGGACTCACTTCAGCAAGAGCAGAGCTGCAGCACAGCCCACGAAGGCCTTAATAAATAGGATTTAACTCAGTGAAAGGCTGTAGGGCATAAACAATTGGGACTGACTCACCCACCTAAAAACTAAGTGTGCCAGGTCCATGCCCCATTAATTTTCCTGTCAACACCCTGGGAAGAGAACATCATGGGTCAGCTTTTTGCGGAGGAAGGAGGTGTTAAAAGTAATGTATAACAATCTAAATATTAAGCGCTTTTTTGCCTGTTGCAAATGAAGCCGTGGTATACAGTAATCGGCAGCTCCTTCCTAAGGCAGCTGTGGTCACTGTCAGTCCAAAAATGCCCCTGCATCCACCTGGAGGGGCCACCACAGAGCTCTGATGTCCCAATACTTCTTCACCAAAGGTGCAAAACACCCCTCCACCACCAGATGCAATCAGGTTGGGACTTTTTCTGTTTGGCTCCTAGTTTTTAAAGCATCATCCCTCACCCTCGTCCTTGCAGATTCACACATTTCTTACTCCAGAGATAAGCAAAGAGAAAATATTTCAACTTACAGGATTAAATAGGACATCCAGCTCCAAGTAAATTACTCCTTTTGAAGCACGTTCCAAGTCTTTATTCTTCAGCGTGTAACAACTTTGTTTACCGTTTTTAATCTATAGTTTGGGGGGGAGAAAAAGCATCAATATTTTCTCAGCTGTAATTCACAATATAATTTAAAGACACTACAAACAAATAGATAAATAAATCGCAAGCACAAAAAAAAACCCCTCCCCAAACCCTGATAATATACTTGGAGCCTGAAATACAAAATGACCGTTGGATTAGAGACCTATAAAATTGCAGATTAAATCTCTTATGGTCCAACTTTAATTTACAGACCTTGTACTTTATAGTAGAGCAGCGCACGCAATAACCAGTCTGAAAATTCTGCCCTGGAAGCCAGTGAGTTGATGGGAAGTAATCAGCCTCCGTTATTACAGGTTTAAAATGGGATTTTTCTTCCAAAGTTCAGGAAAAGAGCCACAAACAACAACTTACCTACCTATTGCATACTCCAGTACACGAACCCACTTCTTAACGCTTAGTTTATTGCAAGGCTGTCAAATTATTACCCAGGAAACAAACGCAATCCAAAGAAATTAATCAGCTTAAGTGGAGCGAATACTAATGTAACAAATGTTCAAAATTAACTAATTCGTGTAAAAGACTTCTCCCCCCACCCCACCTCTGAATTTCAATACCGTTTCTATGCTGTAGACCGCCGGTTGGCCCTATCACATTAAACGTCTATTAAAAAAAAAATAACCAACAAAAAAAACCTCCCTCACCATTTTGTAAACTATTTGGCTCAAATCAAAAGCATGCTCTCTTCAAAAAGTGATGGCAGAAATGTATTTATTATACACAGTAGGATATGTATTGATTAAACATTTGGCTTTTTAGGAAGCAGACCAGTTAATTCTAAACAGCAGTAACATAAAAACCTGCAGCTTACCAAAAAGCTACATTCAGGGACTGCAATGATCAAAGATTAAAGATAACGGATGAAATTTGGGGGCATGAAATTGCAACCATATTTAAAACGGCTATTGCTGCTTTGGCATTTAGAAGAGGCGCTCATATAAACTACGGTAGAAATGAGTAAGGTGTGGGGGAAGCATAATGGGAACCAAGTGATTTCACAAGACAAGAGACAGGTCACTTCCCTTCCCAATGTTGCTCTATCCTTTCCTATTCTGTACCAAATAGCTCGTCAAAGGGTAGATGGGTTCTCTGGCTAACGGTTGAAAGGGAAGAGGACTCATAAAGACCAACTTTGCACCCTCTGAGTGTCCAGCTAGGAACTCCAGCTTTTATTATGTTCTCATCCAAAACTTTGCTTAACATAATGCCGAGTTATGCAGACATATGTGGAATTTATTTAATAAAAATAAATAATAACAGTAATAGGCACTGCACCAAACTGATCACAAAGCACCTCTGCTTTCACTGCAAGAGAGTTCATGTAGGGTTGAAGTTGGCAGCAAAGGACACTGCAGCTCCCAAGAGAGGGGCAGGCAAAAACCTTTTGCAGACCAGCAGGCTCAGGTAATCTGCAGCCCCAAAACAGAAGAGCTGCTGAAGCGGCTAGCCCCTCTTCTAGGGCCAAATGAACTGGCATCAGAAGGTCCTCAGGCCAACTGCCACATACAGTATTGTTGGCCCATCATAAAGTATTCTGCTATTTCAACAGTTTGTATTTCCTGCCCTCAATTAAGGGCAAAAAATAATTTTGCTACTGGATAAAAACAAAACAAAATTTATTTGGAAATTAAGGATTTTGTTCAATTTCCCAAACTAAGTGAAAAATGGATTTACTGATGGTAGAGCTACAGGGCCAGGCAGACTTGGTTGGCAGTTGTTATCCCTTTGGTCCAAGGGGATGCCACCGGCAGCACATTTAGACCGAGCTTTGGTTCATGGACTCTCCTGCAAAAGGACAGAAGGTATGTTGTTCCCAGTGTGTCTGCAGAGATGCAGGTGTCCAATACATATCACAATATCATAATTCTGGGTTCTCCATAGTTATTAATTTCGGGGCTGAATTTCCTTGTATTTCAGTTACACATATTTCTCCTAACATTTCTTCCTATTACCCTAGGAGCAACAACTAGTGGGAAGTTGCATCTCACATTCCTTGGGATGTACTTCTTTCTTACATCTTTCAAGAGCATAACCAACAAGGAAAAAAATGTCACATGCTGCTAAATTGATAGAAAAAGGAAAAGAAATGCTGTCACTACTGAGAAGGTCTGAGTCCGATATCACAGTATTCTGCACTCAAAAAATGCTTCTGTCTTTGGGGAAAAGACTCTTCATTTTAAGAGCTGGAGCTGAATCAAACATTTTGGGTGTGTCTGCAGGTGTGTTTGTACAGTAAGGTTTAAATCAGCAACAAAAAACTTCCACCTCTGTCTTTGGAAATAGGGATTGTTTGTTGCTTGGGAAACTTTTTTAAATGGTGTCATTATTGTTGTTGCTGCTATTTTAAAATTGAACAGGGCACAAAGTAATGCAGTGCAAATACTGTTTTACAGTCAGCTTCATTTGGCATCTTTAATTTTAAGTGTTTGACTTGTCTGGTAAAAGATGTGCAATTATAGCTCAGCCTAAGACTAAACATTCATACAGATGTCCTAGCTTTTGACCTTCTTCAGAGGAAAAAAAAGCACAAGAGAGAAGAACAACTGGCTACAAAATGGCATTTCTCCACTGCATTTTCATTTGGATAAAAAAAAAAAAAACCTGCAAAAAAAGTCAAAGAAAAATATCTCTTGCAGTTTTGGCAATGTGCTGGTTCAGCAAAAGGTGTAGGGTAATTCTAACACCCATGACTGCATGGAGATTAGATCGGTGACATGTCTCAACTGTGCCCAGAAGAAAACATCCAAAATAGCTTTTAATACTCTACATTTTCATTGCATGCTGTTCTTGGGCCAGAGTTCAGATTCTGTTCAACGTCTCCCTCAACCTCGAGAGACAGCCAGTCATATTAATTTCATTTTGGATCTATTTTTTTCTCCTCTCTGGGTAGTTTTCTCTAGTCTCTGCTGTTCGCAAAGACTGCTTAAATGCTTTCTCCAGCTGTGGGAAAGGTGACCAGCCAGGGCTGGGGTCCTAGGATGAACCTAAATGTCAGAAAGATCAGATTTCTTCTATCACCCAAACACCTTCTGCTATGTACCTGATCTCACATGGATTTCACTCAATGAATATTCCTGATAGCTGTCTCTAAAATAGGTTCTCTTTCCTATGAATGTTTACATCTACTTATGGGAAAAGGGAAGGAAAGGATTATTCAAAAGAAATGTGAAAATATCTGCAGGCGAGGTCCTTAAAGAGACATAATCAATATTCTTCCTTTACTGATGATCTTTTATATCCTCACTGAATAATAATGCCTGCATTCTCTGAAAGTTTCTTAATAGCATACGACATACTGGAGCTCAATCACCAACCAAGATGGCCCATAACCACATGATTAACATGAGGACAGTAGTGCCTACCCCACCAACATGCTTCATTTTGCAAGGTCACCGTCAGAAAACCTCTGAAAAAGTGTCAGGATTTTCATCCCATGGGAATTGCTGATATTTGGGGCATTTCCCTGTTCTAAATCAACACAGAAAGAGAAAATACCAGTATCGATATTTTCACAGAACAATTCATATATTCTATGTCACAGTCCCTTCTCCATACAGCACCATGCACAGGAAATTATCAGTTGGAAGAAAAGCTAAAATTCTTTGTGCATTAAGTATTTTGACCTACAGAGGCAACTTCTGGCAGCGCTTTAGCTGAAGGAAACATTCAGGTACGTGAGACCACCGTACAGTCAAGGCCTAAAGTGCACCAGGTTCTTTTCAGATGAATGAATATATTTTCTAAACTCTTCCCACTGATGTCCCCAGTAAAACAAATGTGACTAAACACAGTATTGATGTAGCCAGCCAATGCTAAATCTATTAAGCAACAACCTTCTGACCGCTTGGGAATTTTAATGAAATAGCGAAAGCCGAGATTGATATGACACAAAACACGGAGAAGACAGGACCCTTATGCAGCAAAGGGTGGTTTTTCATTGCTCTTGTCTCAAAGAAATATGGTTTAGTGGCTTTTTTTTTTACATTGATTTTAAGAAAACTTTACTCTGTATCCAGCTTTGATGCAGATTCAATGTCATATATTGATGACCTGACAGAAGAACGCTGGGTTAAACCTCTGTACATCAACACCCGTGACGTGTGGAAAGGGTAATGGCTACTCTCCAAGGGTAATTCATCTAAAGCATTTGGGACCTCTGATATTCCTGCTTGAGCTCATTGCTGATGCACAATGTCATACCATTTGCCCTGAATAACATAAAGCTGTCTTGTAATAGACACACACCTACCCTTATCAAAGGACATATTTCCCCAGGAAAAGATAAAAGCAAGCCACATATTTGATCCACCTGGACAGGAATAAAGAGTTTTTTGTTTCTCCCCAGTCTTGCAGCATACCTTGATTCGATTCTGTACGAAATGCCTATTCATTCATCCCAAAACTCTTTGCCCCAAATATTTCACTTTTAACAACCTTCTGTGGGATCAAAAAGAGAATGGAAATTTGGGTTCTTGGCAGAGGATTGATATCCAAAGACCAAATAGATATGGAGCTGATGGTCTGAAAGAAAGCAGGCAGCCACACGAGGGCTTCCAGGCAGTCTGAGAAGGAGCTGAAAACCCTGGGAGCACAAGGATCCTAGGTGGTACTCAAGAAAAACATTCCTGTTGATACCATTTCAGTGAGTAGTGCATGGTTGGGGGAGAATTTCATTTCAGAAACAAGGCATCATTTTTTCTGGAAGAGATGTGGGTTGTTTTCCCCATTCCAAAACTTCTGGTTCATGATAGGGATAGAAGTCAGAATAGACTACCCACTTCACAGCTGCCTCTATCAAATAAATGCAGCATTTTCACTTTTCTCAAACTCTAAAGCTTTCTCCTGAAAAAGGCTGTGCATTTATGGTCAAGTGCTAAGTAATTGCAATCGTCAGGTGTCTGCTCTCTGAATCCAGGCCATGTTTTAGATAATTAAGCTTGCGAAAGTCATACTACTTGTTTTCACTGTATCGTTGGCTACCGACCTTGCTTGGCACTTGAAAACATTTCACAGACCTCTTCCTGTTTGCTGAAAAAAGGGTGCAGCTGAAGACTACTCTGAGCTGATAATTCAACAGATAAAAAACATTCCATTCTGCGATACAACTCTTCACTCAAAGGTCTTTCTGCACGAGGATATTTGATATACTCTGCTTTCAAATTCATTGAAGCACACTATATGCTCCCATGCCTCTAATAACTTGCAGCCTTCCAGGAGATAGGAGTCTCTTGAAGCAAAACAAAAAAGACAGACCCTCACAAAGAGAAACACGGTTGCTTTTACTAAGATCTAGGGCACAAAGGAACACAGAGATGGAAAGGACTTCTTTGATAATTAGTTCAAGTCCCCCAAAACCTACAAAACTTCTAAACCTATCAAACTCCTTTCTTGAAGCAATGAAGTTTTTGCCCTACTTCTCCATTCCCCAGGATCATCTTCAGTTTCTAGCACAAAAGCCTGCTCTGTTCAGTGGTGTAAATGGTCTTCTCTTGCTTTCTCAGAGCCTGGGGAATGAAATCTCCCTCTCAGCCCAAAGGTTAGGCAAGCCAGACTCTACAGGTCACCTCTGGCAAGAGAGGAATCCATTTTGCTGAATATCTTGGTAGCACTAATCTGTGTCTTTTCCAGTTTAAATTCTGCTTCTGTGAATGTGGCTGACCAGAGCTGTATTTGAGATGAGGTCTCCTATACGTGTTTTAGAGGAGGACAGTAGTTTGATGTAAAGAAGGGCAGGAGGAAAAAAATACTATAGGTTGATTAACATGGAAAAGCTAAAGATAAAATGCAAGCAAATAACCACTTCTCTCCCTCTGTCCCCCATCTACCTACAAATAGCGAAAATTCCAAACTCAGTGTAATGCTATCAAAATCAATGTCTCTACGGTGCATTATTAATAGAGCTGTGTGAGAAACAAAGCAAATTGTGTATTCATCCAATATTGCTTCATCATGCCTATCAAAAGAACATGAAGTTTTCAGCTTTATTCATCATCTGACACTTTAAAACTCCTCTCATGCTGCCCAATTTTTTATGTTTCTTATTTGGTGCCTGCAATAAGCCTAGCTCACAGTCAAGGATAATGGAAAGCATAAGTAATTTCACTATCTCTGAATTTTTGTGCAGTAAGGTTATTCGTGTGTTGATGTGATGATGAAGGTGTACGCATGTTTGCAAAACGCCAGTGTAAGACTCCTGAACACATTTAAACCAAAATTCATTGTCAAATTAATTAAACATTTCATATCCCTCCAACATATACTTTATTCAAAGCAATTTTTCATTAAGAAAAGAACCTAGTCAACCATGAACAATTCCTGAAGTAAACTTACTTCATGTGCTGACAGCTCACAAGTCAAACTTGTGCATTTTTAACAAGAAAAAAACTGGCAAATCCACTTCTATTTTTGAAAGGGAATTTAATGCAAAGCAAATATTAGGCCTGATTACCTAGAGAAATTAAACCTATATGATTTGCTAGGCTTCCTTGAGTCTTTAACTGTTGTTCTCTTTCAGCATATTTATCTAAATGGTTCAAAGGACACATTCAAATTTTTAGTCAAAATGACAACGTACATCAAAATTCCCATTTCAAGAAAAAGAGCTTAGAAAATTGCAGTTCTCTGAGCAGACTAATAGGTGCAAAATGTTTTTTAATCAGAAGCAGAGATGAATATATTTACACTAGATTTGACTGAAATAGGAGGCAGAGAAGTTTGGACAGGAAGGAAGACGATCAGTTGGCAAGGAAAAGCATAAACAATTTTTATTTTATTTTTTTTTCCTCAAACCTTGGACAAAAAACCTACGCTGAATAGTTTGGACATTACCACACACATGCACTCCCCTCCTCTGCCTTGTTACATGCTTCCTAAGGGATACTTGACAAATGCCTATAAAATCAACAGAAAATCCAAATCTAACATCTTCTCACTGTGAGCCCACACAGCCTGCTGCCGATCATGCAGACCATTTGGCAAGCACTGGATCTGCAGGAGAGCAGCTGCTCCAGCCACTCTCTTCCAGTAACATCAGAGATACGAGGACTTGGGGAAAAATTAACGAAGTGATCAAAAATGGAATAAAAGATGTTAAGAGGTTTTTTCCTCCCTGTAAACATCAAATCATCCTCCGTGCCCAACTGACTCTAATAGTGTTCTAAAACTGGAGATATTGACAACTCAAGCCACTAAAATATACAAAGAATCTAAAATATCCCCAACCTCAAAAAGAACTTGCAGTCCGAACCATAGAGGGAAGAGGATTGCAAAGCACATGGCAGTGTGTGGGGCACCAAGAGCTCAGTATTTACTGCTCAGCTTCTATAGCTTAGGCTCTTCTTATCCCCAAATTGCAGGGGTTCCTGTTCTGGACTCCAGAATAACTTGGAAAGAGCACACGGTGGATGAAAACAAACACACTTTTGTGAAGAGATTCAGAAACCATGTTGCTTTTAATTCGCATACTCAAGAAATATATTCTTCTAATATATTATTTAGACAAAATAATAACAAAACTGGAGCACACTAGCCTATTTCTTTACCGCTATAAAGCATTCCTTAGGTTGGGATCATACCCTCAAAGCCAGTTCAAGAGTTTTCTGGGCAGTTCGTTATTTATTTGGAAACATCAAATATTTGCAGCTGCCCTCTCTGATCTTGATTGGTCCCTTACCTAATCTATGTTGACTCTGTGGGGCGTATAACGGCCTGTTTTGATCAGATGGGACCTTTGCTTTCCCCTCTAGAAACCTCTCATTTCTCCAGGCTCTGCTAGGACAGAGCCCCACTAACCTGTTGCTGGATTACTGCCTTTTCTGCAGCAGCCCACCTCTAAAACTCAAAGACAAACTCTTGCCTTAACCATGAGATGTGTGCCAGCCTTTCTGCAGAGGTGAATATGCTTTCACAGAGATGTTTCAAAACAATACTGCAATTTTGTCCTCTATAATTTCAATCAGATCCACCGTCTGCCTATTCGAGAGTGCTATTACCCACAGCATCACACTGTGCATTACCAAAAGCATCTCACTACTTCATGTATCCCTTGAATCATGTTATATATTGCAAGCATGAATGTTTGTACAGGGCTCAATGCGCTACTCACTGCATAAATACCTGTCACACCCTCTCCTCTGCATAGGGAACCTACTGCAAAACATCAGTGCCTCAAGACTCAAGGAAAGACCCATGCTTACAGTCAAAAGTGTTTACACGACTTGACTGATATGAGTACAAGAGTCCCATAATGTTTCAAGCCTCATCTACTAATTGATTTAATAAAAGCCACAGCCTAGAAAGCTCTTCTGCAAAGTTACTGCAAATGTTACCAGAATCTTCTGTGATACTGCATATACACATGGAGCTGTTTACATCCTCTTCATCTGGTTTACTGGCTCCGTTACCACCACCGTTGTTCCAAAATTAAATCAGTCTTACCAAACACAAAGCTGCTTTTCCCTCATTTCTCTATTAATGTCTTTTAATGACCCCTTTATGTTCCCTTCTCTTTAGCTTGGCCTTTTTTGGCCATTTCTGAAAAAGCTTCAACTCTCCTTAATCTCCAGAGCAACCACTTTCCCCTGAGCTCACTTTGTTTCCAGTTTTGATTTTATACTCCCATGGTCACGCTCACTCTTCACATATTTGTTTACAGAACAAAAGCCACCAGTCTTTAAAAGCATTATGGAGTAGAAAACACCCCTTTTAGGTAATTTTATTCAGCTGTGCCAATAACAACAGCTATCTCTAGTCAATCCTACTGTGATGTGCAATTACTTTCTTGGAGTAAAAAGAAGACAGAACAAAGACATGCTTAAAATGTTACCTTCAGAAGATGATGTGGAAACATACAGAACAACTCAATTATGTTTTCAGACCTACATGGCGTATAGTCCTGATGAAGTACAGACACTTCTGCAATTTTCTTTCCAATCAACCAAATTTGTACTAAAATGGGTTGGCAATGCTCGTTACACTAAGGAGAACTATAAACACTGCCAACTAAGGCATATATAGATCACAAAACCTGTTTATCTCTAAATCTGTGTTGCTTTGTGCTATGGGGAAAAGAAATGCAACTCGTTCCCAGCAAAACCATCAATGTTTGAATGATATACGTGGCAAATTTAACTTACGGACAGCAAAGGGATGGCAACTTTTCCAAGAAAATCAGGGGGTTTATCTCCATCTTCATCAAACACTGTCACTTCCAGAACATCATGAATGTCTTTAATAGGGCTGCAACGAAAAGTGCAGACACATAAAAAAATAATATTCAATACACATGCACACAGACTCCTCCACAAAGATCTGAGAATACTGTTTTACTAATTAAGTTTGCATTACCTTGGAGTATAAAACTAGCATTTAATTAAATTCCCCCCAAAAATGAATCAAATGATGGGTATTCCCCAAGCTTTCCCCTCATGTTTCAGTCCCATAACTAGGTGAAGAAAGTAACTACCAGACGGTGACATTTTTTGTGTATCAATGTTGATGCTAACAGTGTAGAACTCGGCTCTCCAACACAGAAAGCTGATGACTGGGAGAGGTCAAGGGCTGAATTCAAAACCAGGCTTCAGGACACTAAAGAAATAATCCAGGAAACAAAACTTATGTAACTTCATTTGACTTGGACAATTATTGAACAATTAGCTCCCTTTTAAGGTACTAACAAGCCAATTACTTAAAAAAAAAAAAAAGAACAACCCTAATTAAAGGCCAAATGTACAATATTTTTGTTCCATTCCATGCAAATGTTCTACTGATGTGGCAGCTGGCACTCAGTCTTGAATATTTATCAGATCATTAATAAATCAGGGTCTCATTTGAGAACAGTTATGTCTGTGTGCCTGCAAAAGCATGGGTAACTGGAGACGACTTAGGAGTTGCATTAATTGTCTCCTCTTTTCCTTTTTCCATGTGCTGGAGTTAAAGAAAGATGTACATGGTACAGTGTGTATTTGTTATTTAACTGAGTGCAGCTGTTTTGCCCCAAAGGAGGTTGTTTCAGAGCAGTCCTGCTCCCAGAACCTCTGCCTGCAACACAGTGGAGTTGCTCCTCATGGAGCAGAGTGTGAACCTAAAAGCCACCTGGTTGCCTCTCCAGCTAGCAGCCGTAGCACGTTCTGTGATGTGACCTAGTGGCAGCCAAACAACCATGAAATGCACTGTTTTCAAGACATTGTGGCTTTAAAATACATTGAAACCTGCCACCTTGGCAACCATACTTCTATGTTCCTCTCCAAACCATTATAATTTTCCATAAGATATAGCTACCAGTGATATAAAATATTAAAACCCCACAGTGACACACCAGATAAGTGTGTTGCAGAAAATCTGAATATGATGGGAAGGACTCTCTGGTGGTATTGAATGCTCCAGCTGAAATGGATTCATGCACTCAAAACAATCCACTCTGCTCTAAAATAAATCTAAATCATCAATAGCTTTTAAGGAGCTTAATTGAAATTTTTAAAAATGGCCAAAAATCTAAGGAGAGATGTGAGAGCCTGACTGGTTCTGCAGATTTCATGCTTGGACTAGCCATGCAACAGCAATAAGAAAGTTAGAGATAGTCCACAGCTGATATTTCTGAGACCCACAGGAAGTATAGACACAAACTTTCTTTCTAAATGAAATAATTTTGGATTCTTATTAGATCTATTTTGTTGGCTGAACATCTGACAAGACTCATCTGCTGGCACAATCTCAGAATAAACAGTGATGAATGGAAGTTTCTTGAGAACAGACAAAGTAAGAGAAAGGACTCCAAGAGACATGCATTCAGCTGCAGCCATGAATTACACAGAAATCCGGCAAGGTACTTCTATCAAAGACATCAGATAGTTTTTATTGTGTTTGCATCCAGCCCAGTATTTATGAATGTTGCTTTTGCAAGAAGTCCATCATTCTCAAACCGTTCTGCCAGTGGACGGGTACAAATGTCATAAATGCTCCATTGCCAGCCCTTGCAGTTGCCTTCCTTGCCACAGACTGCTACAGTCTTGGAGACATTTATCTCACTCAGTTATTCACAAAAAACTTTGTCAGCATAAAGCAAGATTAAAGATTGTGCTGCCTAAAAGCAATACCTAAATTATCACTTTTGTTATTAATAAAGTCACAAAAAAAAGGAATACTTTGATTTCCATAAAAATTGAAGCTTCTAATTTGGGGTGAGCTATGTTTGACTAGTTTAAATTCAGAAGATATACTAGGAACAACATGAGCTCTAATTTTCTGCTTACTTACAAATTAAACAAGGATTCTACCATGGTTCAATGAAACATACTTTATTTTAAATTATGGAAAATGTAGGCGTGAATATCTGGTCTCTACTTTCTGTTATATTATCTCTTGGATCCAGCTATGACTCCATTATGTCTAGTCATGATTCTTCCTATAAATATCACAGTAATTTTTCTTTTAATGACTTCTATTAATAAACTCCATGCAAGAACTAGTAAAAGGCAAGAGGCTTTAATTGAGTTATATTTGCTATTTCTCCAACATCCTCTCTGGCTATGACAAAATGACATATGTTAAACTTGACATTTGTATTTTCCCCAAGTCGATAGCTTTTATAGTTAAGCTGCTAACTGTTTGGTGTTACAGCATTTTTTCAAAAGCAATCCACTTACAATGTGAAAACTTTGTTCCACTCTGGATTGAGGTTCTTGTAAACAGTGTGCGTTTGAAGACTGTCGTTTCCCAGCTCTAATACGCAGAAAGGATCACT